CCCCCCCCCCCGCCTCCTCTCGCAGGTCCCGGCAGGTGAGCAGGGACAACGAGGGGACCGTGGCGAGAAGGGCGAAAAGGTGAGAACGTGCCCCACCACCCCCAGCAAACCCCCCCCCCCGCCAGCACTGGTGGGGTGCTGCAGAGAACGGTCATGCTTGCTACATGGATGAACCTCCTTTTTCTCCCTCCCACAGGGGGCTCCCGGCCCCCGGGGCAGGGATGGAGAACCCGGCACCCCTGGAAATCCTGGCCCCCCTGGTCCCCCCGGACCTCCCGGCCCCCCTGGCCTTGGTGGGGTGAGTATCTATCTGTGGGTTTTTTTGGGGTGAAACAAGGGGGTTTTGGATCAGCCGGCATGCTCAGCCCCCTTCCCCTTGCAGAACTTCGCAGCTCAGATGGCAGGCGGCTTCGACGAGAAGGCTGGAGGCGCGCAGCTGGGCGTCATGCAGGGACCCATGGTAAGGGGCCACTCCCTGGGTCCAGGGACCCCCCCCAAGACCCCTACGCACCCCAGGGGGACATGGTGTCTCGTCTTGGGACACGGGGGACCCCGTGTCATTGACTGTGGGGACTGTCCCCATTTTGGGAGGACCCCCCTGGCTGGGCAGGTGATGGGGGGGGCGGCCGCCTTGCCTCCCCCCTCCCCCATGACACTGTTGTCTCTCTCCCCCCAGGGCCCCATGGGACCCCGTGGCCCCCCCGGACCCTCCGGCGCTCCTGTAAGTATAACCCCCCCCCCCAGGCTCGGGGGTCTCTGGGTGAGCACCCTGCCACCCTGCTGATGCCACCATCTCCCTTCCAGGGTCCCCAAGGATTTCAAGGCAACCCCGGCGAGCCTGGCGAGCCCGGCGCTGCTGTGAGTGTCCCCCTCCCCTTGCCCCCCTGGCTCAGTGACATGCCACCCACAAGCTCCCACTCACTCGCTGCCTCTCTGTCCCCTTTAGGGTCCGATGGGTCCCCGAGGACCACCGGGACCTCCTGGGAAACCCGGTGATGACGTGAGTCCTTTGCTGCTCCAGGCAAACCCTGGCTGAGAACGGGCAGCTCGTTGCAGTAGTAGCCCCAGCCAGAGGCCAAAGGGTGATTTTATTTCCCTGACAACCGCCCCCCCGCCCCCGAATCTCATTTTCCTGCAGGGTGAAACAGGAAAACCTGGCAAATCCGGCGAGCGTGGCCCCCCTGGCCCCCAGGTAA